CCCCCCCCCCCCCCATTATCCTGACGTTCAGCAGCATCATCCAACTCTTCCAAAGCTGCATCTCCTTCAGCATCTATTCTGATGGCTGTTTTTTCTTCTGCCTGTCCTTTACCTGCTGAAATTTAGGATTCATTTTCGAGTTGCTTAGAGGTATGTTGAGTCCTATTCTCATCTGTAATGGTAGTTCTCTGAATTTCTCTGCTCCAGTTGTGCTGCCTCTGCATCATCCATAAGCAACGACACCACATCCGCATGCAGTCCCAAAAACATCATCACCCTGAACATGACCTCCTGTCATTACAAGCTGTTGTACTCTATTGCAGATGAGCCGATAAACAGTAACCTAAAAGAGGTTTTTCGTTTCAGAAGTTAGGTATAAAGTAATCAAATCCCATTGCCATTGATACATAGATGCTTATTCACTAGCATAAAGTTTTTGATTATAGAATGAAACAGTAAAGGAATTGGTGATCAAAGCACAGTTTCTTTTGGTTATGAAAGAGATGGCAAGAATAAAAAAAAAAACAGAGAGAATCACTTACATCTTTTGTCTGACCAAGACGATGAGCTCTGTCCATAGCTTGTAAATCCAAGGTGGGATTCCAATCACTTTCATATTAACCATTTGATTCACAGAAACAACTCAAGATTCTATTAAAGCTTATAGAAGCACCTAACCTTCATTTGCTTAGAGAAACCATTCGAGTGGAAACAAACAAATATGCCACGCAGAAGCATAGATTCGGCCATGATACAAGAATGATCTCTCCAGGGCACATGAATTGTTACATTGATCTAACATCAAAACATATGGTTATTGTTTAACACAACATATCTGGTAAACATTAAAAAACTGATTCAGAGATTTATGCTTTTCAGTAGTATTCTTTACCAATTCATATATAAGCGAAATAAAAATTCATTCTAGAAGATACAAAGGGTTTGAACATGAAGATCAACCTTATGCCTATACTTCACATGTTAATTCTAATTATTAGCTTGAGCTAAATTTCCTGCATCGTCCAACTAAGTCCTAATAAAGTGATGATTATTAGCTTGAGCTAAAAAACGGAGCTAAAAAGCTCCGTTAATAGCAAAATGATCAAGAGCTAAATCTTTAACATTCAATATAAAAAAGGCAGTTCTAAACCCTAATTTGAATCAAAAATCATGAGTTCTAGTGCAGAAAAAAAACCCGAAGAAGAAACCATCGAACTTACCATCAAGGATGACTCCAAGGTCACGGAGCTGTGTCGCACGCTGCAGAAGAATCTCATTAAGTACCTCAGCGGTGTGAGGGCACAAGAAGCCGAGTCTAACTCCTCCACCCCTACCTCCTCCGCCTCTACCTCCACCTCCACCAAGAAGTATGGTATATGCCATTGATGGTTGGTTTATATTATTAAAAATATTTTATTTCCACTTTTAATCTTTTGATCGAAACATTATTTATATATGTAGCAAATGTTTTTGGTTATTTTATTTTAGCATTCATTATATTATTTAAGAAGTTAGTTTCAGTTACAATGGTATCAAGGAATTAAACATATTATATGTAATGCCATGCTATGTTTTTTTACTTATATTTTCCTTTTTGTTTATTATTTTTTTTCTTTTAGTTTATTTTTATTATAATGTTTTGTTAAACTACTAAAATATGAAACATATATATATTAATTATTTTTACTATAGTTATTAATAAAAAACTAATAAAATACTACAAAAATCATAAAGTAATCAAAATAAACAAACTATACAAATTCATTTATTCATAATATATATATATATAACAAATAAAAATCATATCATATATATATATATATATATAAATTTGGTCTTATCCTAGTTAGGTAAGTAAAATGTTGCTTAACCCTGTGGTTATTTAATTGTGATGAATAGTCCATAACATTGCTGGATAAAGTCATCTTTTCATTACTCAATTGTTTATAAAAATGGAAGTGTAATTTGTTAGTTATTTGTCACTTGAATCTTGTCTTCTCTTTCGGCTGAGTGGATAATTCGGTTTCTGACAAGTTTATTGATTAAATTTCATTCTGCTGAGCAATTCGTTTACTTCTTACTTGGTGTTTGTTTACTACAGAGAGAATTGTGACATAACTTTAAAAACTTTTCGTTTCCTTGCAAATTTTGTCACAAGTATGATATAAATAAGACAATCCTCTGTTCCATACCCATCCTAATAAATTCATATACATTTTGATATGTAAACAAACTGAAAATTTGATGGTAGAAGAAACTTGCAAGCACTGGAGAGGATGGAGAAGTTGAGAAGCTGTTTTGATTTTTGTAACTTCGGATTCAGCTTATGTTTTCTGGTATTGGAGGCAACGAAGAAGCAGACTTATTGTCTGTATCGCTTGAGGACGGATGTGACTTGAGATGGGACAATGCCACTTCTAGCATCACTTCCACTTCTTTCTTGTACTGTGTTTTTAAGTATATCCAAAACCAAATGTATCTCAGAATTTTTAAAAAAAATCTGTTATGGCAGTTTCTTAAGCTCAGTGAGAGAGGACATGAAACTAACCTCATCAATGGCTCCTGCTTTAATCTTCGATTGCATCAAACACCATTTCTTGAAATGTACACCTGTAAGATGGATACAACGGGATCTCATTTTATACATTGTGTGCCATTGCAAGTTTTGAAAAAAAAAGACAAGAATTACTTACCAACTCTTACATCTACTACAGAGGAAGTCTCCTCTTTCGCTTCCAATCGCCATCGACAATGGACCTGATACAAACAAGATTCAAGAAGCTCAAGACAGGTTGCAAAGACAATGATGAACTCAGAACCAGATTTGACTCATGGATAAACATACCTCAAAGTAAGAACCAAAAGGAACATCATGTGGCTGTTGCACAGTTTCAAAAACCTGGAAGATATAAGTGTGTTATCAGAAGAGATAACATTTCCTTCTTTTTTTTTTCATTTTGTTTGTAGAATCTGAACAACGTTATAGCAACTACTATCATCCTACCAGTATTTTCTTATCTGGTGATAGAACAACGTGCTGCCATTCTGTAACAGCAGTGTCTGGTGGACACATAGGACTATTACAAATGGATCTGAACTTAATCTCTCTGACTTCACCATCATATTCTTCAGCTGTGTGCCAAGGCTCAATCTGAAAGACCCCACAAATAGACCAAAACAACAAAGTTTCAGACAAGTTTAAAGCCTTATGTATGACGCCTAATGATCTAGATAGTAATACAGAAACTTACATTAAGATTCTTATCCTTCCTTGCAGATCTGTACTCATTAGTATAAGTAGAATTATCAGCCAACAAAACGTTGAGGAATTCCTCAGGTGTACTTGGAAAAACATCCTGCATACAAGAATATAATGTATGAAATTTCCAGAAAATATCTTTAAACAACTATCTAAATTACAAGAAGAAACATATGCTTACATTGTAAATGGCTACAAGGACTTCTTCCTTGATGAAAGCCTGCAATTTTACAGGCAAAGCTGCAATATCTACAGGAGCTTTAACTTTTACTTTAACACCACCTCCTCTCTTAGAGCTACTATGCGCACGTAAAGCAGATTCTGCTCTTTCCTAAAGGGTAAATAAGTCACCAAAACGGTGAAAACATGTTAAAGTTTTAGGCAATCACAGCAGTATCTTCAGGCGTAATGTTACAAAACAGAGAGAGAGATACCTTCTTTTCAACTTCTAACATTGCATGATAATTATTAACTCTACGCTGCAATGCTTTTAGCGTATGGTTCCTGTTCCAAAACGATGCAAATTTATACCTCACTCTACCTGAAAAAAAAAAAAAAAATTGAATTCAAACATAAACATAACAGAGAATCATTACAGATAAAAATTCCAAATGGTTTGGTTCCTACAGGCAAGAAATCAAATCTGAAAATTGTTCTCGTTGGCTTGTGCTGATAAAACAGGAACTAACAAAAACAAAGTATTTGCTGACAATGACAGAAGAAACGAAGTCTTATCTAATTTAAAGGAAAAAAAAACTGAAAAATCTAATAATAGAAAAATCTATTACCATCAGGAGTCCCAAGAGGAGGGACACCATGTCCACCAGCTCCCATCCGTAGTATAATTGTTATCGCTGGGTTTATCACTGCATGCTGACTTCTACGTATCTGTAATGCATATTATTAGGCCAATTATAAATTTAAATCAACAGAGATTTTAAGTTGTTTCGAAAAGATATTACCTCATCTATATCTCCCAGAGGTACAACCACCTGGCAAAATGAGACAGGGAGAAAGTTATTAACCATTTGATTCACAGAAACAACTCAAGATTCTATTAAAGCTTATACAAGCACCTAACCTTCATTTGCTTAGAGAAAACATTCGAGTGGAAACAAATGTGCCACGCAGAAACATAGATTCGGCCATGATACAAGAATGATCTCTCCAGGGCACATGAATAGCTGTGCTCAACAACCTAAAATTCCCATCTCAGACTCGTATGAGATCACTACAGGAATAAGAGTTAGTACGGATTATTAAATTACCTCATCAGGTAGGAGATCAAATATTGTCTGAAGAGGCCCTGGCTTTAGATGCACAATTGTTGGTCCTTGCTGATCCAACGTGACCCTTCTCCGTGCTCCAGCATATCCAGTTATAGCCCTTACCAATTAAAAATCCATTTTGTAAACACAACAACACAGCCTCGTCTAAATTGAAGTTAGAGGGGAGACTACCTAGAAGCATTTACAGGTAGTTTGACCGCATTAATGTTAAGACAAACCTGACAAAAAAAAATTGGATTAGCCTCTAATGAAACAAGAAGGCTTCTTGCAAACAGAAGCTAGGGAATAAAAAAAACATACCTGTCCGGAAGGGCTATCTAATGAGTGCCACACTGGACCTGTCTGGCCTTCACGTTCAACGCTAATGATTACCGAGCCAAGGACCGTACTCTTCCAAATGATATCCCAGTCATGAATTGTTACATTGATCTAACATCAAAACATATAGTTATTGTTTAACAACATATCTTAATAAACATTAAAAAAAATGGTTCAGAGATTTATGCTTTTCAGTAGTATTCTTTACCAATTCATATATAAGCGAAATAAAAATTCATTCTAGAAGATACAAAGGGTTTGAACATGAAGATCAACCTTATGCCTATACTTCACATGTTAATTCTAAAACAAGTTTAAGTTAACTAAATTTCCTGCATCGTCCAACTAAGTCCTAATAAAATGATTGATAAACCTTAACAGGAAGCTCATCTGAGGGAAAATTGAACTCTTCACCCCACATTGGATTCCTTGAGCCAGGGACCATAGAACTACAATAAACCAAGATATATATATATATATATATATATATATATATATATATATATATATATATATATATTAATTAGACAGTCCCAACGTGTAAACACTCAACAACCAAACCACCAATAGTAGTTGTTGAAGAGAATAAATCTATACGACAGCTTAAAAGAGCAAGAAAGCAAAATTAATAAATTGATAAAAAAAAAAAAAGAGAAGATTTTTTTTTTCACAAACCTGAAACGTTTTTCTGATCCACAATTGACAATAGCATAAGGATCTGATGTTCCATTTAAATTAGCACCAATAAGATTCTTAGCAGCCAGTAATTCCACCTGGAACAAAAAAAGCCAAAACAAAACAAAAGGAAGGATCCAACATTAATCTTTAAATTCTTCAGACAACAACAACAACAACCAGTTTCAGACACTCAACGAGTTTCAAACAAAACAAAACGAAGGATCCAACATTAAACTTAAAATTCTTCAGACAACAACAACCAGTTTCAGACACTCTACCTTGATAATGTACGGAGCATTTGTCTGAGTGTCTCCTCTCAACTGTCCTATCTACACAATAAAAAAAATTGAAACTTGTTGAAAACCCACAAAACTGAAGAAACATTAATTTCAAAAAAAATCAGAAAACCTTGTCTTTGTCAAACAAGGCGTCACCGGTATCAGGATTACGAGACGGATCAAAGCCAACATCGTCGCTGAATCTGTAAGCGAATAGCCAATAAGAAGCGATCAAGAAAGCCGAAGCTGCCACCGCGACCTCAATCTCCCACGTCGAAGGTAATAGATACTCTACCGCTGAGTGAACCATCTCCGATCAAACAGAGTATCCAAAATAATAATAATAATTTATATATTCAGCGATGATTCAAAGAGGGTCTAATGAATGATTCTCCGCATGATGATGTTGATGATCATCATTTCTGAAGGAAGAAGAGAAGTGAGTAGACAATCGCTGGGAGAAAAAAAATGGATTTTTTTTGAAGATGAAAGAAACAGAGTAAATTAATGAGTGAGTGAATTTACGAAAGTACCCTTAAACTGTATGTAAACAGTTAACTCCTTTTATATTTTGTTAAACAAAAATATTTTTCTATAAAACGGTTTTTAAGATTTTAATAAATAAAATAAACTAAAAAACATAAATTAAATATAAAGTACCATTAGTAAATTTATTAGAAACAAAAAAAATGTTAAACTAGTCAAATATAATATTTTTTGATATAAATCTAAAAATCAAATTTTCAAACATATAGTATGAATCTGCTTATCTAAAACATAGACTATATGATGGCTAGATCTTAAATTCATTAGATGGAACATTTGAATGATGTCCCTCTTATACAAAGTCTCCTAATAATTAAAAAATAATAATATTTTTTATATATATTAATTAATTAAACTGATATTTTCAACATAATATTATAAAATTTTGTAAACATACATACTAATTAAAGTTAAATAATTTTTTGTCTCTTTATTTTTGTTTTATGTTATTCATTTTGTTTTGAATAATTTTAGATGTATTATTTATAATAAAAAGAAAATATTTTAAAAATAGAATGGGATTCCAATAATAGCAGGCCCAATCTGACTATATGGTTCAGATTAGTTTCTCTTGTGCTAAAATTGATTCATTTTCATATGTTAACTGAAACAAAGCAACAAAGTTGGGGAAGTAAATTATTTAACAAACCAAAGCAAGTAAATAATCTATTTAGATAAAATTTAATTGGGGAAACCTATTTATAGAAACATAGTTCTTCCAATCTCATAAACAACTGCAGAATATAATAGATTTGATTTCTAAAAACCTAGTAAACCGGATAACGACCCATAAATTACATCTATCCAGTTAATTTACTCGGTTCGGTTGGTATTAATCTAAGAGAAAACGAATGAAATCACGCCACGTGGAAACAAAGAGACAGATAGAGAGGGAAGGAACCCCGTTTAGGTTTTTTTGTAATAAGTATAAATAGGTTTTTTGATCACTGAGACGTTTTTTTTTTTTAAGTTGCCTTTACACATTACTTCTTCTCCTTCTCTCTCACTCTCTCTTGTAGCCGCAAAAACACCAAACCTCTCTTCACTACTAGGTAATCATCTCACACCATCTCCTTCTTATTCACTGTTCTATCTAAACTTTATGTTTGATTCTTTATGTAACGTTTTTACTCATTTTCTTTGCAAAGGTTTTGACTTTTTGTTCTTCTGTGAGCTCAAGCTTATGGGCTAGCTTTTGGTTCTTATATGGTGTATTCTTGTATTGGTTTTAGAGATTCTTTGAGCATAATTGTGTTGAACTGAAGTTGTTTGGTTCGAGCTTTTAGATTAGTAGTGGATGTAATGAATCGAACCAGTATTTGATCAGTGGACTGGTCTTAGGTTGTTGTATTGATTTGCTTCTCATGTTATTACATTAAAAGATTATGTTTTTAACTATCAATAGAAGAAGCCAACAGTGAATCTATATTTAAATTATCTTGGATTACAGCAAATAGAATTTGTGAGGAAAATTTTATCTATACTAAGTTATTACTTTGCTTGATTACTTCTATTTTGAATATGAATGTTTATATGCATTAGCTGTAAGTTACTGATGGTTTTTTTCATTGCAAGGTAACTTGTAGGTATCAATGTAAGAGAGTATGTGTAACCGGTTGTAATGATTGTGTCTAAACCAAATATGGAGATCAATCAAGAAAGTAAAGAGGTTAATGCAGAGATACTATCGCCTAAAAAAGAGCAGAGTCCTGGAGGAGGAGGAGGACATGAAGAATGTGTTATTACCAGTGCTAATACAAGTGAAGGAACATTGACTTCAGTTTCTGGTGGTGAGGAGTTGGAAGTTGATGTAGTTGAAGTTGATGAAAACAACACATCCACCACTGATGAGGAAGATCCAAACGCTACTGAATATTCAAGCTCGTTTTCCGACACTTCATCTGAAGATGCTGACATGTTGTGTAATGGACTAGACGAAGATGCTGAGGTTGAATCTCATTATTGGGATGAGACTGACTTAGGACCTGCTTATGATTCCTTTAGCAGTGTTTTTCATTTTAGGTGTGTGTCTCTACCTTAAATCCTTTTTCAGGTTCTTTCTGTTCCACTGTTTCTTAATTGTTCTGTATCTTATGTGTGTGTGTGTGTCTTTGTAGGAAGAAAAGGCTGACAAATCACTGGAAGAGCTTTATCAGGCCACTGATGTGGAGATCCAAGTGGCTTGAGTTAAGAATTAGAGAGTTAGAGTCTCAGGCATTAGAGTATCCCAAAAAGCTTGAATCATTGGATAAAGAAAAGCATGGAGCAGCTAATACTGATCCATCTGTGTTGGACAATGGGATGAAGTCGTTACCCTTTACTAATCCTTCTTACAAGAAAAGAGCAGCAAAGAGGAGAAGAAAGCGTAAGAAGGTTGAGAGCACTGATGATATATCTTCATATATGTCCCATCATAACCTTTTTTCTTATATTGGTAAGCTACTAAAACGTAACAGTATTAACAACTTCTTGTCTCTGTGACTCTGTCTTGCTTTGAGCATATCATTCATATACTGTTTTTGTTGCAGAGACAAAGAGATTGAGCTCAGATGGAATGTCAGTGGCTGCTGATGACTTTGGTGGTATGTTTACTAAAACCTTTTTTCAAGACTGTTCATAATGTTTTGTGTATTGAGAAAGTTTCTTTCAATGTCAGCTGCTAAGGATCCACGAGTTGATTCAAAGGACCAAGTAGAGTTAGTTGATGATGACTCGCTTTTCGATCACCGAGAAGGAGATAGTGTTTTAGAAGAGGTTCTCTGGAAGATAGAGCTGGTACATTCTCAGGTTCTTAGAATGAAAAGCCAAGTAGATGTTGTCATGTCCAAGAACGCAGCAAGATTCTCTTCCTCAGAGAATCTGAGCCATCTTGCTGCAAGTTCTGCACCTAGCCCAACGGTTTCTGCTGGAGGAGATGTGATCTCCGCTGGAGCTATTTACAACCCTTCACAGCATATGGCAGACTATGTTCTTGGAGATTTAATGTTCTCATCAGAAGGAGTCATATCTAGCTACGGAGATGGGTTTCATATTCCTGACATAATCGAAAGTACTGTTGGTCTGTTTGCAGATGCAGATGTTACATTACATCATCCTCACATTGGTGACTCTTGTGAAGATGTAAGTTTTTCAGTTTTGCTTTGGTTTATGTTTTTTTTTTGGTTTATGTTTACAGAACACCCTTGTCTGATTGGGCTAATTGCAGATTTTGGATAATATCTTGATTCGAAATGGAGTGGCTGAAGAGATGAATGGTGATTTGATGGAAACTAGTAGCCATGAAGAAGGTGAGAAAGGAGAGGAAGGAGAAGGAACTAATGTGTCACCATTGCAGCAAATTCAAGAAACAGAACAAGATTTCCAAGAAGACAAATCATTGGTGCTACAAGATTCGGTTCTGAGGTCATGTTTAGCTTCTGAGATGCTTGTTGTTCCTAGGAACAAAAGGACAAGAGGTGGAGAACGTAAAGCTAGTTCTTGGTGCAAGAAACATCTCAGTGATCCTGAAAGCCAGTGATTGCTGGAATAAGAAACTCAGTAAGCTTCTTATGATCAGTCTTTCTTCATTGTTGCAGTGACTATTTCTACTTCAGTCTCTTGCTTCTGAAAACTTCTCTTTGGTCTTTTTTTTTATAACTTCCTTTCTTTCACATTCTGTGTGTTTGCAGAACATGCAACTTTGTTTTTCTTTTCTTATCATTTTCTTCTTTAGCTTATTTTCTATTTTATGAAAAAGTTAGAGAGAAGACACAAACCGTGTATAATAAAGCTTTTTGATTACAAGTTACTAACATTAAGTCTTGTTTGAAAAAACATGTGAAGGCTTATGCTTTCTGTAATTATTTTAGGTAGAATGAAATATATATATGATGAGCATGCTTCATCTTATTGGTTTCACTCTGGAAGTGTTTATATTCTGTAATGGAAGGACATGAACAAGCAATATATACAACCGATCAATTAAAAATGTGAAGTAATAACAAAACTAAGATCCATTTCCTTGATGTTACGTTACAATTCTATAAAAAATAGAGAAACTTCTATTTCAAATGCTCTTTTGTATAAGTTGAAAAAATAAATGTCTAAATATTAAAAAGGAAATGTATATTTCAGATGCTCTTTTGTATAAATTCTAATTTTAAAAGGAATTTATAAATCTTTATTGCGAATTTTGTTAAATTGTAACTCTATTAGTGACAAAATTTTTGTTAATATATAGTGTGATCATCTACACATTACTTCTAGTTGATGAAGATAGAGCATATATTCACTGTTTTCACAGGTTTGATTTAATATTTGTATACGCATTCACGAGTTTTGTGATCAAATATTCAAGTTAAATGTGTTGAACTTATCTATTACTTATTAAGAGATGAGAAAGTAGAAAGGTGGATTCTTTGTGTAGCCTGGGTGGCCTATCATGTGCCCTTGGTGGGTGATAATAAAGAAGTCTATACTTCAAGTGGAAATTAATCTGATTCTGATCATCCCAAAAAATTAAAGAGAATAAGAAATTAGAAAAAAAAAACTTTGAAATTTCAGCTTTACTGTATTTGCTTGTTTAAATAATTGTTGAGAATCTATTATATTAAAAGAGAAGTCATGACTCACTTCATGTGTGATATTTTAGTTTGGACCATCTTTAGAGTTTTATAAAATTTTACATAACATTATAATATCTTTTTATATCTTTAATTTTTGTTTGAAATACAAATAATAGTCTTAATAAAATTCTAACAAAATCTTTTAAAAATCTTTTAGAATCTTTTTCAAGATATTGTTTCAAAAATTATTTGATTACAATTTTAAGTATCATAAAATATAATTAAAATTTTAATTCCTTTTTAATTTATAAAAAAAAATTAAAATTATGTAAAATACTTTTAACAATATCCCAAAATATTGTTTATGTATTATGTAAGTCTAACTTAATTAATTTTTACATAGATTTCAAATTTAGAAATAAAAAAATTATATATAAATTAGTAATCTTACATAATAATGTTTTTAAAAAATGTTACAAAAATACAATTTTATAAATTTTATATTAATACTTATTTTTGATAAATTTTTATATAATTTCAAATATTTTGTATTAACATACCCGCACGGTTGTGCGGGTCGAAATCTAGTAATTAAATTAATTTACAAAACCAACATGACCAATCATAATGTTGTAGCAGCTTTTTGGAGGTTCTTGATATAACACCACCCACCATATCAAATTGAAAACCATGATTGACTATACTATGTACATGTCAATTATTCCTGACTTCTTCGATCTCTCTATAATTGTCAATTGCTTATCAAAGAGTGATCCAATGCGTTTATGATATTTTTAATCAATAAGATTAGAAAATTATTAGGAAAACTAAAGTCAGTTTATACAAATAATAGAATGCCATCTTGAATTTATAGATGAAAAAACCACAAAAATACATTTTTCTTTTTTTCTGTTCAAATGCATTTGCTTGTTCTTGTAATAATCATGAGTGCAAAATATAAAAACATATCATATAGTTTAATTAACCACGTCAAAGCAAAGAGTTAGACCTCTTTATTGTGTGTTAGTGATTATTTTTTTTTGAAAAATATGTTTCATGTGGCCACATAAACAACATCAAAATCATATGACTTCTTCAGATTTGACTTGGCAACATAATTATTATAAGTGAAATAAACTGTAATTTCTTGAATATTAGCATTTGAAGGAGTATAAGAACTAATTTATATTAGCATTCTCTTGTCTGAATTAAGAAACTTTTAAAATAACATACATATATATATGCTCAAGCTAGCTGAAGCATTTGTGATGTGCACCACTTGCTTGAATTTTCACATCATTATGCCCAAAATTACAAAAGGGACTTTGCAAATTTATGATTTTATGGGCATGCACTGATAATTAAACACCATATAAACTAAATAAAGAAACATTATGTGTGAATATTAGTAAATATGTGAAGGCTAATAAATGCTCTAACTATGGTGCATGCCCATATTAATCATCATTCAAAAGAAGTTGGTCCCATGAGGTTAACATGATTAATCCAGCACTTAATCCCTTTCTTAATTATTCTCATATATATCCTATATTCTATGTAGTTGTTTAATATTAGTAAAGTTTAGAACTCAAATATTTCACATGAATAAGTTTACTAGTAGGGAGAAGATGCTTGGATTAATTGTCATATGACAAACTCAGGATAATAATTGGATTTGTGTATGAAAAATCAAAGTTATTAGTCGGATTAATCCTGTAAACTGGAATCTTTATGTGAATTTCATAGTTTTAATATAATGACTGAAACAAAATCAGTGGACAACATAAATCGGTTTAAATTAATGAATATAACATGCAAAATATGAAACAAAGCTCATATGAGATGTGATGCGAGAAGACAACTCCTTAAAGGCTACAACTGAAAGTGGATCATGAGGACTATGGTAATTGCATTAAAAGCAGCAATTCTCTTCACTTTCTCTTTACAATTTTGAATCTCTTATCTTTCTCTCTCTCCACAACTACAAGACTCATATGACTGTAAAAGCAAGAGAGAGAGATAATAGAAAAAAAAAAACAGCCACTCTTAAAGAATGAAATAAAGAGCAAAAAAGCTAGTCAATTGTTTAACTCACACTCTCTTCATCTCTCTCTCCTCTCTCAAATTCTCTAAATTTGGCATTGGGCAGATGAAAAAAATCTTCATCTTCTTCTCTATCTTTTGGCTATCTCTCTCTCAATCATTAACTCACTCACTCTTCATCTTCTTCTGTTTCATGCAAGATCCAAAGAGATCACCTGCAAGGTATGCATATTAACTCACTCCTTGAATCACTGCTTACTCAATTTTGGGTATTTTTTGGTTTTTGTTAGTGCAAGGAAATGTAAATACCAGATCACATTCTCAGTCTTGAAAAAGATAAACTAGGAAAATTCTCAGGGGTTTATTATATTAGTATATATACATAATTTAACATATTTTACCAATCCCATGTTTTCTATACCTAAGTTCTTGTTCCAAAACCAATCAATATATTCAAGAAATCCCAATTTTCATTTTTCACCCCTATGGTTCCTTTGATAATTAAGTCTGCAACAATAGCTATTTGAAAGACATGAAGATATTGTCTAATTTTAATATTTGATGAATACAAAGGCATCTTTGATTCTTTGTTAGAACAGTTCTCAGTAGTGACAAAACCTTGCAACATAGGTCTGGGCCTATTTTGGGCCAGTTCTAGTCTTTGTTCTTCCACTTTCTTTTATGTGTCCCCTATCAATTTGTTTGTTCTTTAATACGACTATAAATGTACTACAAAGATACGTATCAAAGACAGAAACGACATGTAAATATACTTTTTACCATAATAACGATGCTTTGTTCTATTCAGAAATACCAGAATATTTTTGTGTAGTCATAATACAACTGTCAAAAAGAAAAAAATGAACAGTAGTTACTTGCTGCAGATCCATAATTGGTAACTAACTAAAAGTATAAAACACAACTCTTTAATTTGTTTCCTTTTTCTAAGTCAAAAATATAAATAAATAGTATTCTTATTTCCTTTTTTCTTTTTCTTTTCACAAAACTAAACTTGGAAATCTAATTACACCATTTTTAAGAGTTTTAAAATCTATTAGCTTCTCCATTTACATTGTGTACTCCCTTTGTAGAAGAAAGAAAAAAAAATGTTATATCTGTAAATTAATTAATATTAAGGCTTATTTTATGAGGATGCGTGAGTGTGAAGTAACTGTAATGTCAAACAGAAAACCTTGGTACCAGCGAGCAATGGCGGTGGCGAGGTTCGCCGCAAACTGGAAAACAATCCCAAAGTCACCACCGGAGATAACACGTCCGTCGCGAAACCCTAGCGTCAACAAATCATCAACCAACCAACAACAACAGCTGAGAAAATGCACTTCCCTCAAGGTAGCCGCGAACTCCTTCACTAGGGTTTGTCTATGCGCTCCCATCGGTCCATACGACGACGTATTCAGAAACTACGTGCCGCCGAGAAGAAGCTCGAGCTACCCTCCCTCGAAGCCTCTTCCGGCGGTGACGGAGACGGCGGCGAGGATGAGTGTGGACTCAGGGAGGAGGATATTTAGAGGGAAGTCGTTGAAGGAGAACGCGTTGATGAGGAGGTTTGTGGCGGCGGAGGAAGAGGCGATGATGGAGAGTAGAAGGAGAGATGAGATGGAGATGGTGAGGAAGAGGTATCAGATGAGGAAGAAGAAGAAGCTTGGACCTAGTCCTCTTTGTCGCATGGTTATTGCTGAAGAAGATCAACAAGCTTTTCATCAATGATGATTAAAACTTTTATCCCAAAAACAAAACAGAGGAAAATGTTTTTTTGTTTTGTAATTGTGTTTTTTTATTTTGGAAGTAAGAGATAATTAATTACCAGTTTGGTCCGGTTTAATTAATTTGATTAGTTTGCTAACGACTGATTGGTTCATAAACAATTCAATTATTGATGTTTAATTAGTATATAAATTGGAAGGGATGCTTAAGATTGAAGAGTGATTGGTTCCGCAGTCATTCTCTTGACAAAATATATAAAAATATATTTTACAGGTTTAGATATGATTATTAAGTCAGTGTGGTTGATGATCTATATAGTTTTTTTTTTTGAACACCCATCTATATAGTTTTAAATGTGAATATAATGTACGTAGTCTTCATGTGTGTACACCCATCTATATAGTTTAAATGTGAATATAATGTACGTAGTCTTCATGTGTGTATATACATATGATATATAATCCATGCATACATTCTACATAAAACATACTGTACATACAAGCATGAAGTTAAGTAATATATATGTATTCCTCGTAATTATGTAAGAACTCAAAGATAGTATGGTACATGTGTGTTTAGCTTAGCTTGAAAGGCACTCAAAAGCTTGGAATGGGTCTCTGAAATAATCTGACATCATGTGATTTAGACTCAGAATTTTATTATGTTTTCTAGTTATAAACATTTTGTAAACCCGGTTGTCTAAAAAAAACGAGACACAATTGGTAAACCCAGAGTTCCCTTATGGACTATTATTCATTGGAACAAAAAAAACATTTCATAAACTAGCTCTGTTGTAGATCCTCTGCCCAACTAGTCTCAACTAAATTAAGTTTACAAAACAAGAAAACAATTTCACACAGTTAAATAGTTAAAATGACCAAAAAAAATCTATCACATATTCACATATAATGAAATAAATTAATGCACTCAACATATTCTTTATGTATGTATGCATGTATGTATTTAACCGTACCGAATTTCCTAAGCATACTTCACCTTAAAGACAACTGGCAAAACTTACAAGAACATGTATTGAAACTCCTCGAATCAGTGCTTTTTTTCTTCTAATCACGTTAATTCAACTCAGGTCCGGTCCTGAAAAAGTAAAAGAAAACAAAGGCCGGAAGCTCCTCTCAAAAAAAGGCTGCTAGATGAGAGTAGAACTTACTACCTATGGGAAAACCAATTGCTACTTAACCATCTGAGCTATAATAACTTTTATTAAAAATGACCGAAAACTTTATTTTATTTTAAGGACCGGAAGCGGATGCTTATAATGCTTCTGTTCAGGGCCACTACTGTTCAACTGCATACAACTCTGTGATCATATCTAGACAAAAGAACGTGGTTGACAAATATTGAAGAGATCGCGTACCGTTGATGAAAAAGACATGCGCACGCGGGCAAAGTGTGTCAGCCTATGAAGATGAAGGAATGTTGGGAAGGAGAATTGTCTTGTCACTTTAGGTTAATTGCAAGTTTTTGTTTTCATTATTCGTCTTGCTTGAATTGTATTCCAAGCTCACATCATTTCAAGTTACTTTAGGTTAATTGCAAGTTACTATTCTTGCTTACTTTCTAACATCAAACCCTCGATTTCTATTATTACTACCACTTTGTTTTTATTACTGAACAAAACACCAGCAAACTGGTTGAGTTTCATCATCAAACCCTTTACCTATATGATGCGCATGTCTTGTTTTCAAAGAAAAATTAATATCCGACTAAACAATATATCTAAACTAGTAGTACTAAGCGCATGTTTCTTGTTTTTAAAAAATAGATGATCGTCAACTTTTCATTTTTTTTTTGTATAGTCTACATGTTTATATCTTTTTATTTACATTTAGTTCTGATAACTATGCTATCTTATCTTCTTTGTGGGAATTTTTTTCAGTTTGAGAACAGATGTAAATATTCAAGTAAAAGTTTAAAGGTAATAGATAAATAAACTCCATCCCTATTTTAAAATTCTAACAATACCTAAAACATTTTAAAGCTAAGAGACTAAAGAAATTAAGAAAATATAATTCTGAAATTAAAAATATTATGTATAAGAGCAACCTCATTGAGAGGTTTTCAAGTATGAATATCTTACAAAAACAAAAGAATTAACTGTAAAAAGTGAATATATCAACTGTTGAGAACCTTATTGTAAATGAGATAACTTTTGTTTTGAGAACTATGTAAATGAGATACTTTTTTTGTAAATGAGATACTTTTTTTTGTAAATGAGATACTTTTGAGTTGAATTCTCAACATTTTATATACACATTTATTTTATATTATTATTTTTCTAATTTTTTGTAAGATATTTATATATGAAATTTCCGTTGGAAATGCTCTAAATTTGCGATGTGCTTATGCATATGAGCATACATTAGCATGCTAGTCTGAAGTTGCTTGCAATCTTATTTTCAAAACATTTCTGTGACTATGATATGGTGAATATTAACCTTTGATAGTGAATGATTAGTAAGTGATTATTAAAGAATACAAAAACAAACAGAACAAATATTTTGACTTGACTGACATAAGTAATCGAAGAGATAAAATCAAGCGCGTGTGGTGGTCGTCAGAGACGACCAAAGAATCAACCTCGTCTGCGGTAAAAAAAAGTATTGACATCATAGTCATAAACAAACAAAATAAGTATATTTTACTTTTGCTTCTTTAGTAGCAATCCACTGACGTAATCATGGTATAAATGTAAACGACAAAGTCCTTCCACCAAACGTAACCGCATTGGTCCATGTTTATTATATAGTACTTAACATCTGAACTAATGTAATTAACAATTATGATTCTAGGTTCTTTGTAGACTACTTACCTTCCATTATCTATCATCTGCATCTAGTTTAGTCCATGATTTAATCAACGGTTTTTTTTTTTTGGTTGAATATGAATTGTGGTTGTTTTCCTTAAAATGTTTAGTCTTCATAATGAAGGAAAGTTAAACAAACATTGAGTGAGAATGTTGCCAACTAATTCTCTCTGTACCATCAATCTCATATTAAAAAAATAATTTTGAATTGATTAATCCAAAAAGTGGTCAGAGAGAACAAAAGAAAAAAAAAAGTTTTAAGTTTGTTCCTTACCAGCTAAGACCCATACTTTTTCTACAAATTCAAAGTAAACTAACTCTCAAATATTAATGTTAGAAAGGCAATAAGAAGAAGAAAGAAAATTAATATAGACAAGTTTTTCTTCTCTGGTTGCTTCTTTTTTATTTCTTTCTCTGCTACGTTACTTCTTTCAGAGAACTCTGTACCAAGGTAAGTCATTCATGTTGCTTATAATTGTTCCAATCATATTTTTCTTATAGTTTCATCTTGTAGAGGAACTGTTTTTCCTGGAATATTTTGCAAACAAGTTGCATATGAAAATTTTAAATTCAGTTTATGACTTTATGTGATTTTACTCGGTTCACCTAATATGGATTACTTAGATAGAGTTCGATATAAGTCTTCTCAAAAGTTACAAAGAAAACTTTCCATTTTCATGAAAACTCAACTAACTTCAAATCTTTATTTTCTGTCAGTTTCCTCTTGTCCTGATTATTTGAGTTCTTTAGAATTTGTATATTTTTTTTACTGATTTAATTTGGATCATCCGATCATGTTGCAGGGACTTTTGTAGTTGAGGCTTGGTGTAACAGAGGAATCATGATAAGTTTCCGAAATTTTGGTCATCATCAGTAAGCAAAATAAAGAAAAAAAAAGCTTCAAAAATATGTATGTTCTGTTTCTTGTTATTAGCAGTTAAAAAAAGCAAAGTAATGTTCAAGAAATGGGGAAGAAAGGAAGTTGGTTTTCAGCAATCAAAAGAGTTTTCACACCACATTCTAAAGAGAAGCAGCTAAGTAACAACGTAAGAACTTTTTAAAACATTTAAACATTAAATTCATGAAATGAAGTGATGAGTTGATAAATAAATACCTTTTGTTGTTTCTTGATTTTGAAAAGCAAGAAACAGAGAGAAAGAGCAACAACAAGAAAGAAAAGAAGAAGAAAAGTTTAGGGAAGAAACTAAGAGATGGAGAAACCAATTCTTTTCTTCCAATCTTCAAACAACCTAGCAGTATTGAAAAGATCTTGTCTGAGGCCGAAAGAGAACATAACCTTGTCTTCAGACCACCAACTCCAACAGACCGAGCAACCTCATCTCCATCTCCTCATATTAGGCCTGCTTCTCCTAAAGTGTCTTCTCAAAGATATGTCTCTTCTCCAAGACCAATTTCACCAAGAGTTGCTTCCCCTAGAGCCCTTTCTCCAAGAGCGGCTTCGCCTAGGATCGTGCAGCGACGCGAGTATGTGCGTAGACCAGAGCCAACTCTACTGGTCAAAAAGGCTTCTGCTACAAAGATTCAAGCAGCTTTTAGAGGTTACATGGTAATAATGTAACACATTGTTGATTCTAACATAGTAAGCATTCATAAGATATTATATTGATTGTTTAAGTATGTAGGCAAGGAGGAGTTTTAGAGCATTGAAAGGTCTTGTTAGGCTTCAGGGAGTGGTGAGAGGACACAGCGTGAAGCGTCAGACGATGAATGCAATGAAGTATATGCAGCTTTTGGTACGTGTTCAAACACAAGTCCAGTCACGTCGCATCCAAATGCTAGAACACCGAGCTAGGAACGAGAAAGATGATCCCAAGTTAGCTTCTAACCATGCGGTAAGTGCTCTCATGAATCTTTGGTTTCAAAGACAAGACCAATCACTTACTTAGACATTGCTATCGTTGTTCTCCTTGCAGTCTGATGATTGGGATGATAGTGTTCTGACAAAAGAGGAAAAAGAAGCAAGACTACATAGAAAGATTGATGCAATGATCAAAAGAGAACGGTCCATGGCCTATGCATATTCCCACCAGGTAATACATACACTAATATATACACTCATTTAGAGAAGGGTGTTCAGATATCCATTCGAGTTTGGTTCGAGTCTATTCGGGTTTTTGGGACTAGAAAATTAGGCTCCATTCGTTCTTTAATTTTTTTAGCTCTGGTTTTGATTTAGATCTTCACACGTGTGGAATGGTGACCCATTAAAGTTATGTATAAGAATTAAAATTCCAAAGATACTTCAAAATTCTGGAAATCTAAAAAAAAATATATATCTAAAATCAACATAAAAATGAGTTCAATTTGGATATTTGGGTGAACAAATGGCAGAAATTTGGGGTTTGAGTAATTTTAGCTATTTTCAAATATATACTCTCAGTTTTTTTATATATAATTTTAAAAAGATTTTGGATATTTTTGTATCCATTCAGGTATTTAGTTAGTTTCAATTCGGATTTACTAGTACTTTTTCAGATCGGGTGTCGGTTCAATTTTTCGGTTTTTGCCTAGCCCACTCATCTATCACTCTTTTTACCGATCATAACAATGCTAACATCACTCTCTTTGTTGTATTCTCTACTCAGTTGTGGAAAAACAGTCCAAGATCTGCACAGGACATTCGAACAAACGGTGTCCCACTTTGGTGGAACTGGGTGGACAGACAAAACAACCAAACACAACCTTTCAGGCTAACACCAACACGACCAAGTCCAAGCCCTCAGCCTCATTCTAGGCCCAACAACAGCTTCGATATTTCCACACCAAACTCATCAAAATCAGCATACCTCACACCCTCTAGACCAATCCATACTCCACAACCATCAAGATACTCTCGTGGAGGAAGAGCTACACAAGCTTCTCCTTTCAAAGATGATGATAGCCTCACAAGCTGCCCACCATTCTCAGCTCCAAGCTACATGGCTCCAACGGTCTCAGCTAAAGCTAAGCTGAGAGCAAACAGCAATCCAAAGGAGAGGGTGAAGGAGGGTACTACACCGGAGAAGAGAAGGAGTTCTTTCCCTCTTGGTTCGTTTAAATGGAACAAAGGGTCATTGTTCATGAGTAACAAAGGTCGAGACTCTTCTTCTACTTCTGGTGCTGTGGTGCTTGAGAAGCATAAGACACTCAAATCCGTAGGGAATATGAGTATTGATTCAACTGTTTCGATGCCTGCAACGATTGGGAAGAGGTCTTTTAACAGATTTGCTTGAACTTGGTTTTCTTTTCTCAGTTGATTTCTTGTTTTGATTTGTTTTTATGAGTTTTTTTTTGATTATTTTGAGTGATGTTTGTAATCTGAAGTTACTAGTTTACTGATGTAAACTTAATAAAAAGTAAACAACAACAAAAAAAAACAGAGGATTTGGATTGTATAGTGTGTATGTTCTTTGAAGCAATGCTTGTTCTGTTTCTTGCTCTGTTTCTTGCTCTGTTTTACAGTTCAGACAGCTACTTTTGTCCAAACAGAATCCGTAGGAAACAGAACAGCTTCAACGGTTATTTAAACTTTTAACTGACACAACAAAACATGAGTACGGTCAAGCTTTTCAACAGCAAACCAGTTTCAATCAGCAACTCCTCCAAAATTTTAACACATAGGATCACAGAACATGATTGGTGTCGGAATGAATTAAAAGTGTAGCGACTTGTTCGAGGCCACGATCAGTATAAAGAAAACTTGATAGGCACGGAGAATCGCTTATTCTTGTTGCCAACCTTCAAGGCAACTCACGCCATTTATATTTTGACGTCATTGCTCTGCAAATTGGCTTCCTTTTTTAAAACATAACCTTTCAAGGTTTCCTTTTTGGGTACAAAACAGAGTAGAATGGCTCAAAAAGACGATGGAACATACCACTCTTTAAGTATTCGTTTGTCTAAATACGACTTGTCCCAATCTTTGAATGTCTGTTAAATACTCAAATTATCTTTGAAGGTATGATTTTTCAATAGATTCAGGAAAAAATCGAAAAAGACACATCTTTAAAAACATATCAAGAACTATGATAGGGAGTGTAATGAAAAGCATGTAGCGACTTGTTCGAGGCCACGATCAATATTAAGATAACTTGATAGGCACGGAGAATCGCTTATTTGTTATTGCCAACCTTCAAGGCAACTCACGCCATTTTTATATTTTGACGTCATTGCTCTGCAAATTGGCTTTCTTTAAAAACAAAAAAAAAGCTTGTATACGAAGACCTTTCAGACTAAAATAGAAACCCTAACAAACCAAGAAAACTTCGAAACCTTATAGAACACCTAGCAAACCTAGACGATGAAGAAAGAAGACTAGAGCTGAATATGATGAATCTGAGATGCACGATCTTAGTTGAACTATATAGAAGAAACAGCAGCGGCTGCAGAGGTTGAAAAGACCTAATGTCTTGCAATAAAAAGGCTGGAGTTCATTAATGGGTCAAAGGCCTAATATTTATTTCAAAATGGGCCTAAGCCACTAAATACAAAGTAAATTAATCATCAACTAAACCAAATCAATTTCTAATAACCACCTTAAACATACATTTTTCCTACTAATAATTTATTGATCTTTAAAATCAGATTGTTGTTACAAGCTGGTTTACGAAGCTGGTATGTATTCATTTATAACAGTTTTTTTTCTCTTTTTTTTACGTCAAAAGACCGATCTATTATTTAAACTTGAGGTGGTCTGAGTAGTCACACCGGAATAGAACAACCAACATACAAAAGTTCTTGATAAAAAGATTTAGCAGTCTTAGCTAATAAATCGGAAACTCCGTTTTGTGTCCTATGAACATAAAAAATCTTGAAATCTGGGAAGCAGATCAGTATCGTCATTAGTTTTTCCAATTCTGTTGAGAAACTTGACCAATCATAGAGATTTTTGAGCATTACAATTATTTCTTTGCAGTCAATCACAAAGCTCTGACATGGTGAATGTTGAAACATATATACAGTTTAGTGTATTAATTCGTAGAGGGTTATAGGAATTTTATTTAATATGCTATGATAATCAATTAATAATTAGTAATAATTAATAATGATCTTAACTATAAAAATCACAACCTGCAAATGATAGATGTAACGCCACTAAATACAAAGTAAATTAATCAGGACATCATCTCGTTCAAAAGAAAAAAAACAAATCAATCTCTAATAACCACTTTAAACATACATTTTTCCTACTAATAATTTTATAAATATAAAAAATCAGAATTGTTGTTACAAGCTTGAAGAAGCTGGTATACATTCAATTATCAATACATGCACAAATATAAAACAGTTTAGTATATTAATTCGTAGAGAATTACACCAACTTTATTGCTATGATAATCAATTAATAATTAGTAATAATGATCTTAACTATAAAAAAATCACAACCTGGAAATGATTTTCTTGTGCTCTAAGAACATAAAAAACTTGCCAGAGGTCAACTTCTCCGGTGGAAGCAAAACCAACGTGGCGATTGTTGCGGCAACATCCTCCGCCGTGTGAGTTCCCTGACCACCGGTCATAGACGTACGTGTGAAGCCAGGGCAGAAGCAGTTCACACTTAGTTTGTGGCCGTTGTAACGTCGAGCCAAAACTCTAGAGTAAGCGTTCAAAGCCATCTTGGAGACTGCGTAGTCCGACCAATTCTCCGGCCATCCTTGCTTCTCCCACGTCCCTCTGCTCACGTCTTCTAGAAACTGAGTCACTGTCGCATCGATTTGTTCGATGGTAAGCTCTTCACTTTCTAGGGTTTGTCTTACACTAGGGTTTCTCAGTTTCTGCATGCAAATAAATATAAAAAGATCGAAATGTCAATGCATGAGCAACACTATAAGAGTTGTTTTGAAAATTCATCAAGATTGTTATGAACAAACTGAATAATATTAACTTTTGATATTGCATGAATATACAAAAATATTATATATTTAAAGTATTTTCTTGTTATTTTTTTCCAAGAAACTGAAAGTTTTTGTGAGTATTTTTCTTTGATTTTCGTAAAGTCAAATATGTATGAACTGAATTGCAAAAAATATTTTTGTTAAAAATACTAATGAAAAGAAAATATTACGTTTAAAGCGCCAAGCCTTGAACTAATGTTAAGGATGCGGCTAACGGAGACCGAGCGACGGAACAACGGCAAAAGCGCCTCCGTTAAGAGCTTGGCACCGTAAAAATTGGTCTTGATTGTGGTCTCTGGCTCTTTGATTAAATTATCACCTACGGCGTTAAATGAAACGGCGGCATTGTTCACCTGAGCAAACACAAATTATGCGGTGAGTGTCAGTAACAAATTTGCCATAATTTAAACAAAAGTTTCAAAACCATATATGTACTATATAACAAAACATGCATATGTAACATTTATAAATGTTTTGAAGAGAAAACTATTACTGTATATGTTTATAATCATATATAATGATCAAATGATGCCAAAAACAAAAAAATGATATGTTAAATGTTTTGAAGAGAAAACTATTACTGTATATGTTTATAATCATAAATAATGATCAAATGATGCCAAAAAATAATAATAATGATCAAATACAAAGACATTATGTGATTACCAGAATGTCAAGTACTCCAAAGTTGTGGCGGAACCAGGAGGCAAAGGCAGTGATGGACGAAGGATCAGAGACGTCAAGGCAACAGAAATGAACGTTTTGAAAGCCGGTGCGGCGGAGGGAATCGGCGGCGAGGCTTCCATTTTTGGCGTTTCTAGCGGTTAAGACTACCGTTAGTCCAAGCTCCAACAACTTCTTCACCACCTCAAAACCTATACCTTTGTTTGCTCCGGTCACAACGGCCGTTGTTTCTTTCGACCACCACCTTCAATAATCACAATCACTATCAGAACCAAATTAAAATTAGTTTATACAGGAACAAGCCATATACAATAATAAAATAAAAGGGGTTAAGATTTAAGAACCTTGGACTTGGAGGAAGAGGATAAATGAGCTGATCCATTCTTATTGTTTTTTATTAAAGGTAAAAAGGTTTTATATATGATCTTGATGCTAAATGAACTGATGAGGGGGTTAAATATGTACTACAAGCTTATATATATGCAAATCACAAGGCCAGGGTTTAAAAAATAAGGATATGAACACATGCATAATATTTATAATATACATAGGTAACATATGGATGTGTTTTTGTGTGTAACGGTGTCACAGTATAGCAAGAATAAAATAAGTGTTACATATAATATATTATCGAGAAGGCAAGAACTCGTGAATATAATGCTGCAAATCATGTAAACTCTAAGAATATTAATGTAACTGTAAAGTCCATTTGAGTCTAAGTGTCCACACCTTATAGATCTTTCGAATATTTGACTATTGGCTTCCTTTTCCACGTTAAATTTTTTGGATGGCAGACAATTGATTTTTTTTTACAAGTTTCTGAGATCATTAATCATGTGTGATGTAAGAAGCTTTGGCGAACTATATACAATGCTAAATCAAAAGGTTTAAAGAGGTTGCGCCAAGAAAGGTTAATAACACTGTTACATCTTGAGTCTTGACTAGAATTGATAACACTGTTACATTTTGACTAGAATTTTTTTTCGTTACAAAATAATGGATGAGAGTAAAACTACAGAAAATATTTATATTCCATACACGGTGGACTAAAATTTAAGTTGAAGTAAAAAATAGACAACTTTCTAGTGATGATATAACTAGATTTATTTTATTTTATTTTTTTTGTAAACTAACTAAACTTTTAAATCATACGCTTCTTATATGTTATTGTAGGTTTCGAATTTAAGCACTGCATTATGTATACTGAATACTTGTGTATTGGTCAATAACTTCTACTCAATTGATCTATGAAGGAATGGCAAAAATTGAAAATTGTATTTATGTATATGTGACCCCTAATTTGATAATATTGATATTCATTGTATTGTACCATATATATGTTAGAATCTTGAGCAAAATTGAACCCTCTTATATCATAAATTTTTCATATCTTCAATATAAAAGCTCATATCTTCAACCTGTCTGTGGTGTTAATTAGTAATAGTTTTCAATTAAAACATGCTTCGCTACCTATCGGGATTCCTTCAATGTATATAAGCTAGCTCTTAGAGTAGTTGATATGTGTAATGTAATTGCAAATTTGTAGACAAAAAAATTATTGATAGAGTTGATTAATATTGACTTGGAATCTTTAATTATTGTTTATGAGGCTTTTTTCGTGCATGCTTCAATTAAGAAACCCACTTTTCAGTTAGACACATATGGACGTAAGACTATATAATTTTGTAAACAATTATTTAGTTTGAAAAATCACTACGACTAGATTGGCTAATTTTTAAAATAATACATTTAGGCCGAGTTAGTGAGATATAGCCATGTGCTTACTTCATTATTGCCTTTACTATATCATAAAGCTTAACTTTGTCAAATATAATATGTTGTCCCCATCTTTGGTGGCATCTAATTATTGTAGCATTGTACTTATAATATGTAATTGTACACTATTTTTTAGTTTAAAAATCATCAGTTGTTTAGAGTCCATTTTATATTTATAAATATAGTCCATAAATTTAAATCACAGCACTTTATATAACAGAATCTTAAACTGTATACAATTTTTTTCAAAATGATATTTTATATATTTTCTCTTCGCCAAACTCGTGTAAACATAGTGAACCCTGAAATAAAAATAGAATTCAGTTTACCCGAATAAAATATTTGTCCTGCATATCGCGAGGGAGAAAGATGTACCATTTACGACAATGATAGTTATGTAATGTTTCAGATTATTTTGAAAACCTTTAAATAATACATATAGACTATTGGTGGATGTCAAAAATTGAACTCAAAAGCACTTTTAACTGTTTGCCTAATTGATTTTTTTTTTTTTTGAAAACCTTTATTTGCCTTATTGATAAACATGGATTGCTTAGCGATTATTCTACTAAATTAAGAATAGAAGACAGATAAAGTCGCAGAAGTAAAGACCTTCCCGCGTCAAGCTGCGTTTACCTTACCCTTCTCAGATAAAAATTGAAACGCAGATGGCTTATTGATAAACATAACTTATGTCAAATTATAATTTCTACATAACATAAAAGTTTTTTAAAAAAGTATATACAGTACATATATATAACATAAAGTTTAATGGACAAGGAAAGTGAAATAAAACTCCTTATCAAATTAAAGTTGATCTAACAAATTATAATGGACTCAGAAAATAAGCTCAAATAATAAAAGGCCACTTAAAACCGGAACACTAGTGACTAGTCTTTTGTTTTTGTTCAACACTTTTAAAGCACAACACTTTATATTTTGCAGTCATGTCAGACAGATTTGCTAACACCAATTGTGGTAGTTGACAGCTTTACACAATCAAGAACATCAAAACCACTCTACGTAGTATAACAGTTTTTTCTTCGTTTATCCTTTTGGGACAAATACAATCACATGTTAATCAATACTTGTAACACCAAACAAAAAAATAACATACAAACAACAAGCTGATTTTTCGAGGAAAATGAATAAAAAAGAAAACAAAAAAATGTCAGACCACAAAAACTGTGTATTGAGCCAATGAAAAGAGTAAAAATCAGACAGCAGAGAGGCTAGCCCATTTGCCTACTTCATAAGGATCAGCATAGTAATACAGCTTGATCCTGTTTGCTAAAGACAGCCCTGCAGCAAAAGGAGAAGCCCTACCACTCAAATCATCAGTCTCTGCAGGATCATCTACAAAAGCTGCAACATCTCCAAGCAGCTTAAAGGATACTCTGCGTGCTTGAACTTGCTTAGGGAAGTCAAAATACATCTGTGTTCCAACTCTCGCCTCTGGCAATCTGTATTCCGCTATGGTCACCATTTTATACTGATCCTGCAAGAAAAAGTTACAAGAAGATATTGGTTTCTGAAGACTAAAGATGGTTGCACAGAGAGAGATGGATAGAGATACCTGAAGAACAGATACTTGTATATACAAAACGGCTGGAGAGACGTGTCTATCTTCCATTATGATACTCGTAGGGTCCCAAATGTCAACTATATCTGAAGAAGGCGAGTGGGTAACACGAGGCTTTATGGCGTTAAAAGCATCCAAACGAAATCCAGAAGCTAAAGGTGAACCAGGTTGCAGATAAAGTTCCAGGACTAGATCATTGCTCATCGGTCTCTCAGCCTCGAGTGGTATCTAAAAGAATAAACACAAAGATTAATTATATAATAATGGAAATGCCATTGAATATGGCTAAAGAATCAGCATTTCAGCAAGGTACTAACCAGGAATCTATTCAAACGTGGGGGTCTGTCAAGCCAGTTTCTTACACTCATGCTGTCAACACTTTGTAATGACGCAAGTGCTTTGTCCCTCCTGCTGTTTCCGGTGACCAAGATGCGTTTTGCATGAATACATGGTTCATTCTCAATGGTAGCTCCAAAAGAGGCACGCCGAGGGATTGGTGGGGCAAAAGGGTTCTCATCCAAAGACAATAGATTAATGTTTCTGTCCAAACTAACTGAGCTAGATCCAAGCCGAGGAAGACGGAGTGTCACCCATATAATGCGGCAACGAATAGTATTCTTGAAAGCAAATCTTACATGCCTAGGTGTTCTACCAGACTTTTCTGGACCGTAAAGCTCAGGTGAAGATCTAACAAAGGACTGTACATCCCATTTTCCCATCAGTGTCCGTGCTTCCTTATTTATGTCGTTGCTCGCCCATATTTGAACCTACAAAAACGAGAGAAATCATGCCATTATTGTGGCAGCATTGTCACTTAAGCAACGGTCATGTGATACCAATTGAAGATAGAGAAAAGTCAAACTTACGGTAGGAGCATCAGCATCAGAGTAACCACATGGACTAACGAGAAGAATCACACTGTTGACATCTGAAAGGCTATTGAGTATGATGACAGCTTCAACAGAGCTTGAAGACGGAGGAGCTTTCCAGTAGGAACTACTTGAAGCAAGATTCAGAGGGGTGAGTAACGACAAAAATGGTGCTGAATCAGTCCCAGTTTCGACCTACATTGCATTATGAAAACAGTCAAAAGGGAGAAAGCATGAACAAACCAAAACAGAGGGACCAAATGATACACTGAAACAAAGGAAAGAAGTTCAGCCACAGGTCTTATGCAAGAAGGAAATAAATTACCTTGTGTAAGAAGCTTGCATATGGGAACTCAGCAAGTGATTCCTCTTGACCAAGAATTTGACGAAGTAAGTCTTCTGGATTAGGAGAAGGCTGACCTCTAACAGCAAGATGATTCGTAATGTTAGATCCAAATACCTCATTCAGAGCTTCCCGACTAGCATCATCAACACGGCTACTTCTTCTCAAGCTGACTAAGACCCTAACATAATCTACAATCAAGGCTTCAAGTACTATCGTGTTGCAGCAGTTTTTACACATGTACTGATCTGAACCTATTGAGGTAGCAGATACATCAGCAAGACTTCCACCTCCATTAGCGTTGTCCCTGGAGTAAGATTTTGAAAGCAGAATCGCTCCTCTTCCGGCACAACAAGACTTGCAAGCCTTCTTCCTACATTGGAAACACATGAACACTGAGCCTGAATCTCCTCCCAAACTCTTGGTAGAAGATCCAACTGAATTTTTATTGACCTCGGCTCTCACTTGACACACTCCACCATTACAACCCTCACCAATTCCGGAAATGTTCCAGAAATCTATCACATTATTTTCCACCTTCTCTAAACCAATAGAAGCTATAATTTTATCTTCAAGAGAAGCCTGGCCCAGAACTGCAAGTGCATTTGCTATTCTGCATAATCTTGCAATATATAACTCGTCGTGTGAAGTGTTTGGATTAATGGTAGCAGGATCAATTCCAATAGATAACAATGCCCTATCTCTTTCTGCTGCAGAAATATTTAGACGTAGCCGTTCAATTTCAAGCTTCATAGCTTCTATAAACTCAAGCTTCCTTCCCTGTATTATATTAGACATTCAGAAATAAGTTTACCATTAAAATGGCACTTTAAGAGGACAGATAACATCTGAACAGAAGTACTTTGTGACAAAAAAAATATTTGCATTTCTAGATACAATTTTCCTCTCCAAGTTAAATTAATAAGGATGAAGTAGCATACCATATTTGGACCCATAAGGGCCTTCAGACAATTTAAGTATAGATGAGAACCACTCTCTCTAGGACTTTTATCTTGTGAAGACGACATGCCGGGAACATTTTCGGAGCCACTATATTCAACAACTGCTTGGTCTAAGAAATCAAGCATGTCATTTCCTCCACTTGCAACACATTCGACCGCTGGTTGTGGGAAGGGGTCAGACACAGAAACCTCTCCTGTCAAAAGGTCAAGCAGATTACTAGGAAACGGATCATTCTCTTGCACTGGTGTGGCCACAGTTTCAGTCTGTAAAGTTTTTGCAGCAAAAGGATTCGAGTCAGAACAAGATGAAAAAGGAACTTCATCTTCTTTTGTCTTCCTTACAATCTCAGCCAATCTGCCTCCAGTTCGTTCGTTAGTAAACATTCCTTTCCATGGAAGAGAAATTCCGAGGACTTCTATCTGTAACACAAACACAATGCAGAAGATATTTTAAACTGTATTTTTTTTTGGTTTTTTGATGCTGATCATAAACCCAAACTAGTTCAGAGCATGATGAAGCTATTAGATAAATCATCAATTTTAGCCTGGGAAGTAGTTATTACCTGACCAAGAGTCATCGGGATTTTAAGAGAACCAGCTGGATAAAATGTAACCGCAACTACACGGGTCAAGAAATCCAATTGTCCTTCTAGTTCTTCAAAATCATACAACAGTGAAAGACTTGACGTATCTTTTTCATAAAGACGTGCACCAGCTCCAGTAATTGCCATATCCTCAGAACTACTTGGCCCTGGTAAGGGTATCAGAAGATTTGTACCATTCGCACACCGCGGTATCGAAGCACCCTGCCCAAAAAAATAATTAAATACAATCGTCATCCAGTTGAAGTAATATCTCCTCCAAACAATAAAAGAGAAAAGACAAGACCTAAAAGAGAGTCAACCTCAACAACTAACTTAAGGTCCTCTATGTGGCGTCCAGTTCTCACGTCCACAGTGGATGGACATGTCAAATCATCTGCACCGTGTGATATTGTCAGTAGAAGTTGACATACATGGCAAGGCTCACTGAGGTAGATAAATAATTCAACAGCATCTGCAGCTTGTGGACATAACTGCAAAGTATAAAAAAAGCAGGAAAACTTTAGCTAAAAGTTCTCCAGTGATGAGAAGTAAGAGGTAATGTTATATCCAAGTGGAGGTACCCAAGTTATGTCTTTCCTCTGGATACTCAGCAGACTGGACCCATCATTGGGACTTTCAGACATGCTAGGTACAGGTTTCAGAAAGAAACCACCTGGTCTAGAAAGTACCTGACATGAAAATAGTTCCAGAGAGAAGCAACATTAATATAACTGAAACTGTAGCTGTCAGATGGAATAAGGGGACTGAAAGTGTATTAGTTTGCTTACATGTAAAGGCTGCACAGGAATTGACGGAAGATGTTTGAAAAGCCTCATTCCCAGAAACATCTCCAGCTGCTTTTGCCGTGTACTATCAACCATTGCATTTTTATATCTTCTCTGTAGCGTAATTTTCATGTTTTTCTGTGCTGCAGAGAACTGTTTAAACGCTCCTGATTCTTCACTGAAGATATTGAGAACTTGGCTGTGCATAGCTTTTGAGCCAGTATAGAGAGTCGCATGGATATCACCTTGTTGCAGAAAAAGATCTGCAAGCTCAGACACAGGGGACAAGATAGTTGATCTCTTAAACTCATCAAACCTCATGTCAAGTCTTTTCCATGGTTTATCAGGACATGGATGACTCCATGTTGTTGTCTTAGTATTGTGATCTATAAAATAAGATTTTCCAGTGACTGCATCAGCTCTTTTCTCCCATCCTGGTGGAAGAGGAGCGTTATATCCTCCATGGCTACTCACAGAATTATAACCATATCCAATATCAGTATCAAGTGATATTCCCAGCCTTCTACATTGCTCTACAAACACTTGAAGACCACCGAAGAAACTAGCGGCATTTGTTCGATCCAAAGAATCAGCACAGTTAAAGCGTATCACACCATTTTGATGCGATCTCAAACAGAAGGCACCTTCAACGTCATCAATACAGATCACCTCACCTCTGCAATCTTTCAATCTTTGCCTTGAAGGCAAATAGTCACCCTCAGAGATTCCTATAGCCATTGTGGGAGATTTTAGATACATCCATAATCCTTCAATTGTTTGCTGCTCCCCCTTTAGTTTCACACTAGCATGCCAATCATAATTTATCAAATGAACACGAGTGTAGGGAAGCTTTCCACCGGATTTGATGAAGTTCATCGACTCTTCAAAATGTTGAACTAAGATAGATTCTGATTTCCCTTCTCCACTTCGTAACAAGTTAATACACACAATAGGAACAAAAGCCTTTTTCTTCTGGTTTTCCCCAACTGGTGCATCTAGATTTCTAGTGTCATATCGCTTGCTTAACCTTTGGTAATACTCTGTGCTTCCTTTGTATGGATCCCTAGCTGCCACATAGATTTCTGCTTCTGCCGCGGTCATCTTCAATTCTGCACCCCACCATATTGGTATTGTGCCACGTCGCCAAATGTATGAGCTAAAAGCAATGCTCTGACCATTCTTTTTAGGTGTCCATACAAGCTGCTCACACTCAACTTCGTTACCTGCACTACATAATATACTTCTAAAATTAGTCCCTGGTCAAATCCGGAGCCGCATTTACATCAAAATGTATGCCTTTCCTTCAGACAGCCATCGGAAGTAAGAAGCCATAAAGATAGATTTTCTACTGTATATATATATTAAAAAAACACATTGAATCACTATTATAAATGCATTTTTTTTTTTTGCAGTTATCAGTTTCCAATAACTTTCAACTAATAGTAATTCAATAAAACTCAATTAATTTTCTTGAAGTTTACAATTTCTCCATAGAAAAACATAAAATCTCTAACTTTGTGAAACAGTTTTGTTCTTTCTAAAACATCTATCTTACTGGAACAGAGGGAGTAAAAGTTTTAACAAACAAAAATAAATTCTAGAGTATCTCACCTGTGCCAGAACATGAATTTATTCCCCTAGCTAAGTAACGAGTCCCTGGATGCAGCCTGCTTCGGCGAGCCATTAGAGCAACAATCCCTTCTAACTGACCTGAACTCCCAAAAGGTCTATACTCTGCAAACCCCTATAAGTAACATCAAATAAGAAGACATCTTAGAATATGAACTAAAACGCTTTTGAGAATTCATTAATCCATTTAACAGAGAACTAACCTGCAGAAGAATGACACAATGTTCACCCAACCCAATATTCTTAAACGGCAAAGACAACCATTTATTCCAAACAAACTCATCATCAGGACTCTCCACCGCCACACGGCTCGGAAACGGCCTAGTGATATCCCTACTCTCACAAAAATAATGCTTCCCATCAATATCAATCTCCGTCAACTCCCCAACATTCTTAACCTCACCTTTCCCCTGAGCCTGAGGATTATGCAACGCCACTTTCACCCACTGACTCTCCCCCACAGTGTACACACAACCACCACCAGGCAACTCAGGAACACTCTGATTCACTTTCGTTGCAACAAGAAGCATCCCAAAGCTCCCCAAGACAGCGTAACCGAGTATAGCTCTAGCGTAAACCAAGCTTCTAGAAGCTCCTCTTGTTCCATTTGTGATGTAGTCTACAGCTTCACGCTCTGACTTGAAGGTGTCGAGATTAGGCTTTAGGGAGCCAGTGGTGGGGTCTATGTAGATGACTTGTGTGTAAGGTTTGGAGAATAGTGTGGATATGATGTAGACTTCATTGGAGTCTAGGGTTACAATAACTATAGATGTCTTCTTATTCTGACCACTCACTACAACAATACAAAGTTAATTAACAAATCAAATGATGCTCAAAGACCTAAAGTTTCAATCTTTTGATCACTAACTACAACAATACAAAGTTAATTAACGAATCAAATGATGCTCAAAGACCTAAAAGATTCAATCTTTCGATGAGAAACAGAATCTACCTTGTGGATGCATATCCATCTGAGGTCAAGGGATCAATACGGTACCGTTTAGAGGTTTCTAAAGATCACTGAGAAAACAATAAAGGTTCAGACTTTATTGATAATAGAGATCTGGGATTAACGAGAATAGTCATAAGAGAATGTATTCACTCACCTTTGGAAGGAAGCATGAAGTTGCAGAGACGATCATCAGATGTAAATGTTTCACCAAAGTCATAGGCCGAAACAGGGGAAGAAGAAGAGAAAGAGAATCGTGTGTAACGCACCCTACGGAAATAAAACATTGGTAGTGCGACACGTGTAAATTGTGTGATTTATTTGTGAAAAAGAGTAGGTATTGTTGAAAATAGGCATGGGTTTTTCACTCAACCCGAGCCAGAAAAACCAAAACCAAATCTGAATTGTTTTACAAAAAATATCCGAACGAGATTTATGAACTTAGTACTTTGGATTTTGGTTATAATCCGAACCGAATCGAAATCCGAGTTATGATCTGAAGATATCTGAGATTAGTTAAATATGTTCATGTTTTTATTTTTTTGTAGTTTGTTTTATTTGTTATTTTGAATACTTTTTAATTAATTTAGATAGTTTAGCTAATTTTTAATTAGATTTGTAAATAATTTATATATTTTAAACCCTTTTTTGTCAAGTTTCAAAGTTTTTAAAAATATATTTTTGAATGATTTTAAACATTGGTTAGATCCGATTCGAACTGAAGTCGAAAAGAAATGAATCGAATTCGATCTGATAATTAATAAAAATCGAATGGTACTTATGAACATAACACCGAAAATCTAAAATCCGAATCACCCGAATCAAAATCGAATGGCCACCGAACGCCCAGCCTAGTTGAAAACTTCGACATTCGCCACATTAGTTTTGAAATGTTACAGTAGACCCTATCTTTCAGCCCAGGAACCTTGTCTTTTTTTTTTAACAACTAGCTAAAGAATGCTTCTAATTTTTTTTTTGGGTAGAAATGCTTCTAAAATTGTAATTTACATGATTACATGATATTTTTTCTTAACAAATACATGGCCAATCTTTTATGTTTTTTGCTTCTAATCTCTAAAATGTTAGGGTGCATTTTTATTAACATTGCATTGTCTACGTACACCAAACATGAAATATAGGTGGAGACAAGTTTTGGAGCTTTTCCACTGCTTTGGCGAAAGCTTCAAACAGAGATTAGAGCATGGATAAGAGACAACTTCGAATTAAAATAACACTATTTTTCCAGTTTCCTAAATTATACTCTTTTGAGCATAGTTCTTATATATGTTCAAAACGTATCTTAATTATTGTCCAAGATTTGGTCAGCATTGCTAGAGATATCTTGGCACACCAAAAAAACTGAAATAAGATGGAGTGGAATAAGGAACACGAACACAAAACGAGTTTAATATATATTCATAATAATACAAAAGTACACACAACAAGAGCTCACACTTAGGGGGCAAGCAGTGATCAGCTTTGCCCTTGGTGTTTTATTTGGAAGCAAAAGAAATTTGAACACAAACATTATACACACATGTCATGTTCTCACACCGAATGAGAAGCAAGGTCACACTTGAGAACTATTTGAAGTTATTTCAAACATGTCGATAGCAATGGCAGTGTTTCTCAGTTCCCTCAACAACCGCCCAACAGAGTGGAGGACTCAGCCATTTGCCTTTGCAACATGTACAACATTCAGCATCTGTACCAGTGAAAGGCACCGCCCCACACTCGTCTAAGAACGTACGTTGAGCAGGCAAAGAGCATCCACCGGGACAATCCACAGCCTCGCTGTTCAGGATTCCTAGATGTTGACATCATCAGTGCAAGATAATTAGAACCATAATTCAGAGAATAATTAAATGAATATCATTTGCTGACAAAAAAAAAAAAAAATACCAGTTGAAGCAATCACGAGGACAAACAAGAGAACTGCGAAGCTGATGGAGTTGAGGTTCTTAGCCATTTCTTATGGTTTTGTTTTTTTTTTCCTGTTCTTGTCAGTAAGCTTAAAATTGATGAGACATCCATATGTGTTGTGATCTATTTATAGTCAAAATTCTGTGACTTTGTTGTCATTGTTTAATCTCTTTTCTCTTCTTTAAGGTTTAGCTAAGTTCACAATGTCGCCACAATTGTGCAATGCCGTGTTCGTCAGTATATTTTATTTTCCAAGTCTTATGTTTTCTTTATTCATGCCCTAGTTTTAGATAATATACAAAACAAAGGTCGCCCGTGTCTTTATCGTTGTAACATATTTTATATATCTTTTTTTCTTTGATTTGGTATTATTGTTCAAAAATGACATTGAAAGAGTAAGTGAGAACCTTGGCGACTATTTCATCAGATCATGAATATGATCTGGCTTCATAATATATTTTTAAAAAATTAGGGTTTCAGCATGATTATTGCATCAATCATGTCGACACTATATCTAGTTTTTAGCATCTCCAATTTTCGGCAAAGACAAATAAAACATGTGTCTATGACACCCAAAATTTGATAAATAAAATTTCATAAATATTTATCTCCAAATATATCTTAAAATTTTCAAAATTCAAAAATAAAAAGGAATATACAACTTCTAATTTGAATAAGTTGGCTAATTACTTTATTAACATGAAAATTTGTCAGGTTTGGATATTTTGGTAGAAAACAAGTAGTATTTTGCAATATTTTAAAACCCGACCCGAACACTGAACCGGATTATTTTTTGGGTCTTGACTGGACGCGGTTGAACCATAGATCAATAGATTAATATATTTTTAATAAATATACATATAAACATTAATCATTGGAAAATATAAGATGATATCAAATTTTATACAAAATATAATTTAAATATTTATTTTTTGTCAACTAATTTAAATTTTTTGTTTTATTTTTATTTGCATCCACCATAAAATAAATAATTTGATCAAGGTTTTAATAGTAAATAAGAATTTGGCTAAAAAATAAGACAATAAATTATTAAATAAAATATTACAAACTTAATGTTTAAGTCATAATACAAACTTATAATTGATTTTTAATAACAAAAATCAAATAATAATCTAACAATTTTATATAAATAAATTTTGATTTTTATCATCATTTTCTTCAAATAACATTGTACAACTTTCATCAAAGTCTAAGGAATCACAAATTTATAGTTTATTTAAAATATTTGTAATATTAAAAGTGTATAAAAATTTTAATCAATTTTTTATCAATATTATAAGAAAATTTGGGATTTTTTCCGGGTTAACCAGTGCCGGGTCACGAGTTAATGCCGGGTTTTCAGATTTTTCCGGGTTTTATCGGGTTTTTAGTTAAGTCCAAATCGTATTATTTTTGGGTCACCGGGTTTAGTGGTACAACCACGGTTTTTGGATCAAGTATGAAAACACTGGTATTTTGTGTATTTTTATTGGATTTTCAGATATTTTGGATAATTCAGAATATTTTAGATATTTTATGAATATCAGATTTTACATATTTAGACATATAATTTTGATTTGGTTATTGTCGGGTATTTGAAATATTTTCTTTAGTTTGGGTTTAGGTTTGGATCCGTTTCTTTAGATAACAATTTTTTTGCCTCATTCGAATATTTTTACCAGTTTTATTCCAAGTTCATTATATTTAATTTTCTAATCGAGGTTTGGTTCTTTGCATACGAGTATTTTTTCAGCCCAACCAAAAACTTTGTCTTTTTTTTTTGGTAAAAAAAAAAGGGTGGTTTGACCTCTTTGCGGGGCCAATAACCTCGTCTTTCTTACAAGGAATGCTTCTAAAATTGTAAATAGTGCTGTTATGAACACTGCATTGTCTACGATACATTAAACATGACTAAGTAAAGTTTTCATGCATTTCTACTGCCTTGAGGGAAGAGAAATTAGAGAAAACTTGGGATTAAATTTGATAGTGTTTTTTGAAATTTTCCTAAATATCCTAGTGTAGTGTATGAATTTTTTCTTTGAGCATGAAGTACACAACACACAAAACATTTGAAGGAAAGATGGAATGGAATAAGGAACAGGAACACAAAACGAGCTTAAAATATATATTCATAATGAAACAAAAGTACACACAACAAGAGCTCATGGGGGCAAGCAGTGATAAGCTTGGCCCTTGGTGTTTTATTTGGAAGCAAAAGAAATTTGAACACAAACATTATACACACATGTCATGTCCTCACACCGAATGAGAAGCAAGGTCACACTTGATAACTATGTGAGGTTATTTCAAACATGTCGATAGCAATGGCAGTGTTTCTCAGTTCCCTCAACAACCGCCCAACAGAGTGGAGGAGTCGGCCATTTGCCTTTGCAACATGTACAACATTCAGCATCTGTACCAGTGAAAGGCACCGCCCCACACTCGTCTAAGAACGTACGTTGACCAGGCAAAGAGCATCCACCGGGACAATCCACAGCTNCCAGTGAAAGGCACCGCCCCACACTCGTCTAAGAACGTACGTTGACCAGGCAAAGAGCATCCACCGGGACAATCCACAGCTTCGCTGTTCAGGATTCCTACATGTTGACATCATCAAGATCATCATCATTAGTGCAAGATAATTAAAACCATAATTCAGAGAATATTTAAATGAATATCATTTGCTGACAAAAAAAAAAGAATACCAGTTGAAGCAATCACGAGGACAAACAAGAGAACTGCGAAGCTGATGGAGTTGAGGTTCTTAGCCATTTCTTTTGGTTTTGCTTTTTCTTTTTCTTGTCAATAAGCTTAAAATTGATGAGACATCCATAGGTTTTGGTGTATCTATTTATAGTCAACATTGTGTGACTTTCTTATCATTGTTTAATCTATTTTCTTCTCTTTAAGGCTTAGTTAAGTTCACAATGTCGCCACAATTGTGCAATGCCGTCTTCTTCGTTATATTTTATTTTCCAAGTCATGTGTTCTTTATTCATGCCCTAGTTTATACAAAACAAAAGACGCCCGTGCCTTTATTCTTGTAACGTATTTATATATCTTTTCCTTTGAAATGAAATATATTTCGTTGTGTTCAAAAAAAAAAATATATATTTCGTTCAAAAATAACAATTAGAGAGTAAACAAGAACCTTGGCGACTATTTCATCAGATCATGAAAACGATTTGGCTTCATTAATTCATTATTAAAATTTAGCAAGATGATTGCATCAATCATGTCGACACTATATCCAGTTTTTTAGCATCTCCAATCATGGGAATAGACAAATAAAACATTCCTCTATGACACCCAAAATTTAAGAAATAATTTACATAAATATACACCTTCAAATATATCTCAAAGTCTTCAAAATTCAAAAATAATTAAAAAAGAATATACAACTTATAAATATGAATAATTGGGCAAGTTACCATATTTAACATGAAAATTTGTCCAGTTTGGATATTAGGCTGAAGAGGAAAACGAGTACTGTATTTTTTTTAATTCGGCTATTTACTTTTTAGTATATTTTTTTGATTTTTTCAGATATTTTGGATATTTCCTAATTAAGATTTTCCAGTATTTTAAATATTTTATGGATATTAGACTAAAAATATTAGATATAATTTAAAAATATAATTGGTTATATTCGGGCATTTGAAATATTTTGGTTCGAGTTCAGATTCGGTTTATTTTCTTTAGATAGTTAAATTTGGGTCTTATTCAAATATTTTACTAGTTTTACTCCAAGTTCGGCATACTTTTCTAATAGAGTTCGGTTCTGTATCTGAATAGGAGTTTTTTTCAGTCCTACCAAGAACCTTGTCTTTCTTACGAAGATTGCTTCTAAAATTGTAGAGTGCACTGATGAACACTGCATTGTCTACGTTTCACTAAACATGACAAAGACAGAAGACAAGTTTTCAAGCATTTCTACTGCCTTGAAGGGAGAGAGATTAGAGAAAATGTGGGATTATAAATTAATAGAGTTTTTAAAATTTTCCTAAATATTCTAGTGTCTAGAGTATGAAGTATTCCTTTGAGCAAGACGTATACACCATACCTTAATTACCAGAGATATCTAGGCAGACAATTTTTTTAAAAGTATTATGAAATGGAATAAGGAACAGTGGAACACGACACGAGCATAAAACAAGTGTAATATATATTCATAATGAAACAAAGGTACACACAACCAGAGGTCACACTTGGAGGGCAAGCAGTGACAAGCTTTGCCCTTGGTGTTTTATTTGGAAGCAAAAGAAACTTGAACACAAACATACACACATGTCATGTCCTCACACCGAGGCAAGGTCACACTTCAAACATGTCGATAGCAATGGCAGTGTTTCTCAGTTCCCTCAACAACCGCCCAACAGAGTGGAGGACTCAGCCATTTGCCTTTGCAACAAGTACAACATTCAGCATCTGTACCAGTGAAAGGCACTGCCCCACACTCGTCTAAGAACGTACGTTGAGAGGCCAAAGAGCATCCACCGGGACAATCCACAGCCTCGCTGTTCAGGATTCCTAGATGTTGACATTATCAAGATCATCATCATCAGTGCAAGATAATTAAAACCATAATTCAGAGAATAATTAAATGAATATCATTTGCTGACAAAAAAAAAAGAATACCAGTTGAAGCAATCACGAGGACAAACAAGAGAACTGCGAAGCTGATGGAGTTGAGGTTCTTAGCCATTTCTTTTGGTTTTGCTTTTTCTTTTTCTTGTCAATAAGCTTAAACTTGATGAGACATCCATAGGTTTTGGTGTTTCTATTTATAGTCAACATTGTGTGACTTTCTTATCATTGTTTAATCTATTTTCTTTTCTTTAAGGCTTAGCTAAGTTCACAATGTCGCCACAATTGTGCAATGCCGTGTTCGTCAGTATATTTAATGTTCCAAGTCTTTTGTTTTCTTTATTCATGCCCTAGTTTTAGATAATATACAAAACAAAGGTCGCCCGTGTCTTTATCGTTGTAACATATTTTATATATCCTTTTTTCTTTGATTTGGTATTATTGTTCAAAAATGACATTGAAAGAGTAAGTGAGAACCTTGGCGACTATTTCATCAGATCATGAAAATGATTTGGCTTCATAATATATTTAAAAAATTAGGGTTTCAGCATGATTATTGCATCAATCATGTCGACACTATATCTAGTTTTTAGCATCTCCAATCTTCGCAAAGACAAATAAAACATGTGTCTATGACACCCAAAATTTGATAAATAAAATTTTATAAATATTCATCTCCAAATATATCTTAAAATATTTAAAATTCAAAAATAAAAAAGAATATACAACTTATAATTTGGATAAGTTGGCTAATTACTATATTAACATTAAAATTTGTTAAGTTTGGATATTTTGGTAATATTTTGTGTATTTCTAGTATTTTCAGTTATTTTGTGTATTTCTAGTATTTTCAGTTATTGACATTACTATATTAACATTAGAAAACAAGTAATATTTTGTGTATTTCTAGTATTTTCAGTTATTGAGTTTTGGATATATTTTTTTTGGTTTGCAGGTATTTTGGATAATTCAGAATATTTTCGAGAACTTTAGATATTTTATGAATATTAAATTTTACATATTTAAACATATAATTGATTCGATTATTGTCGGGTATTTGAAATATTTTCTTCAGTTTGGGTTTGGATCTGTTTCTTTAGATAACAAAATTTTGGTATCATTAGAATATTTTACCAGTTTTATTCTGAGTTCATCATATTTAATTTTCTAATAGGGGTTCTGCTCGGTTCTTTGAATAAGAGTATTTTTTTCAGCCCAACCAAAAACCTTGTCTTTCTTACGAAGAACGCTTCAAAAATTGTAAACAGTGCTATTATGAACACTGCATTGTCTACGACACATTAAACATGAATGAGCAAAGTTTTCATGCATTTCTACTGCCTTGATGGAAGATAAATTAGAGAAAACTTGGGATTAAAGTGATAGTGGTTTTTGATATTTTCCTAAATATCCTAATGTAGTGTATGAAATATGAATTATTCCTTTGAGCATGAAGTACATTGTACCTTAATTACTAGAGATATCTAGCTAGTTATCACACAATACACAAAACAAATCTATACTATTATTTGCAAAGTGATTTTTCGCAACGGAGCTCTCACATTAAAAATTGGAGTGATTAATATCATTTATACTCTTAATGAATAATGAATAAAATATAAATCAATCAAAAATAAAAAACGAATTTAATATTTATTTGATTAGATAAATGATTTAAACTAATAATAACGATAGGAATTATCCGTAATCTAAATTATATCTTAAAAAAAGATAATTCCTATATACTGTGTTGTTAACCGGAAAATATATTTCAATAAACAAATTCAAAAACAGAAAATACAAATAAATATTCATAAAATAAAATTTTTAGTTGTATATAATTTAAAAGAGAAAATTGAAAAATTTATAATATGTAACTATTTTCAAATTAAAAGAATATAATAATATAATATAAGGATATATATTTGTGAAGTTATTTTTCGTCTCTGAACTTACACGTTAAATTAAATTTATTTTTATATTTAAACTTTAAACATGATTTATATTTTATATAGTTAAAATTTAAATATGAATTAATCATAATAAAATAAAAGATCATTCAAAAAGAAAGAAAATACGTGTTTGAAAAAAATAAAATAAAATATATTGTATTATTATTCAAACTAGTATTATTCTTTCGGTACGATCAATTTTTGAATCTGTATTTATCGATTTAATTTTTCAAATTGAAAGATAAATTTTTATATTTTTTCAATTAGAAGAAATGAAATAGATTTTAGATTTTTTTAAGTTTTAAAGAAAAATAATAATTTTTTTTTTAATTTGTGAATAACTTTATCATGTAAATTTTTTTTGATGTTTTAGGTCAAATTTTTTGAATACAAATAATCATTTATTTTGATAATTATTTAAACTGATTTAAAGATAATTAATCCCGTATGTGCGGATAAAACACATCAATTTGTTCCTCATAGAAACATTAGGAATGAATAGGAAAAAAATGTAGAGGAATAAAATTATAGGAATGAAAAGGAAAATTATTCCTTAACAATTTTGGTGAGGAATAAATTTGTTCTATATTCCATTAGAATAGAAAGAATGAAAAGGAATATAAAGGAAAAGTTAATCCTTATAAATGGTAAAACAAATTAGGAATGATAAGGAATGCATTTTTCCCTTTCATTCCTTGGTCATCAGTTATACCCATAGTTTGTAGATAAGATGGAATGGAATAAGGAACAGGAACACAAAACAAGATTAATATATATTCATAATGAAACAAAAGTACACACAACGAGAGCTCATGGGGGGCAAGCAATGATAAACTTTGCCCTTGGTGTTTTATTTGGAAGCAAAAGAAATTTGAACACAAACATTATACACACATGTCATATCCTCACACCGAATGAGAAGCAAGGTCACACTTGAGAACTATTTGAAGTTATTTCAAACATGTCGATAGCAATGGCAGTGTTTCTCAGTTCCCTCAACAACCGCCCAACAGAGTGGAGGAGTCGGCCATTTGCCTTTGCAACATGTACAACATTCAGCATCTGTACCAGTGAAAGGCACCGCCCCACACTCGTCTAAGAACGTACGTTGACCAGGCAAAGAGCATCCACCGGGACAATCCACAGCTNCCAGTGAAAGGCACCGCCCCACACTCGTCTAAGAACGTACGTTGACCAGGCAAAGAGCATCCACCGGGACAATCCACAGCTTCG